TTCACTAATAAGAAGTTCAGGTTTATATAGGTGAACAGTTAGAAATTTCACTTTTTTAATTAATTCTGTTAAATAAAAAATTATGACAGGGAAGTATTTGTAATTTTCTAAACTACAGGAGTAATTTATATTTTGAACAAACCTCAAAAAGTGTATTTATAATTTACCCTATATTTAAAATGGTTAATTTGCTAAGGTCTCTTTAATTATTAATAAATATTACTTTATTATTTTCATCTATGAATCTAAATATATTGAAATTTTCAAGTTAAAAAATTGTACAAATACATCCATTTCGAAAGTTAAATATAAAAAAAAAAAAAAAGTGATACATTTTTATAATTGAAAAGGTTAAAATGTTTCGGCTCATAGGGGTAAAGTGAGGTTGTCTATGTCTTAGGGATGTTTTGGAAAGATAGTTAAAAGTTAATTTTTTTGACTTTTTTAGTTTTTTAATGTGGGAGATGATGTGATCCAAAATAGGTTAAAAATTGACTTTTGACTTTTTTGTAATGTTCCCAAACGGCCCCTTAGTGTAGTTAACCCTACTTAAAAAGAATCATGCTAAAAATAATTTTATTGAATTGTTGTTAAGGTAAAATATAATATTAAAATTATTAAAATTTAATTGTAGTTTTTTATATACTTTTTTTTTTTACACATAAAGCAAAACTAATAATGATTGCCATTGAGTGGTCACTAACATTTTCTGTTTGAAAATAATGATAATATGGATTCTTATTATCATTTTTTTTTGAAAAAAAAAATTAAAAAAATGAAAATTCGTTTGGAAAGTGGGTTGACTTTTTGACTTTTTAAAAAAATTTAGCTTGAGGCTAAAAAAATCTCGTTTGAAAAGGGCGTTTGACTTTTTTTAGATTTTTTAACTTTTTTGTGAGAGAAATAATTGGAGGTGTTTGGGAAGAAGGCTTTTTAGTTTTTTTTTTGCTAAAATAGCAGTAAAAGACAAAATAGGTTAAAATAGTCAATAAGACAAAATATCACATCAAACTCATAATCATTTCATTTTTTCTCTCATAAACATCACATCTAACTACAAAAAAAATCTTATCATCTTTCCAAATACAAAAATATTAGCCTACTGAAATAACCTACTAAAATAACAACTTTCCAAACATGCACAATAATAATTATGTGTTGAATGTAATATTTTATTTTATTATACTAAAAAAATTATTTTTTTTTTTGTGATTACTTTAGCAAAAAAACGTCCAAAACTAAACTTCCCAAACGAAAGGGAAGGAGAAACTGGGCAGGCAGGTGGGAGAGGCATCATTATTGTGAATAAAATGTTGGCTTTAATCTAATTTTTTATCATATCAGCAAGGGAACTTCACTTGGTAACTGTTAATTAATTGGAATTTTAATTTAGGAAAACTATAATGACAATCCAAGTGGTAGTCATTAATCTCAATAAACAGGAAAAAAATCTTTTAAATGTGTAAAAATTGTTTGAAAATAAATAACATTGTGTGAGAATATATTTTCTGAGTACCAACACATAGCTAAGGTGACGCCGACGTGTCAGCCGAGGTGCCACGTGTCCTGGTCATGACGCAGAGGTTATCTCGGCGAGGCTGAGGTTACCTCCGAAGATATCGGAATCCGAGATAAGCGGATAAGGCACAAGAGTCCTAGAAAATGGGAAGACTACAGTTGGGAAATAATAAGACTCTTAGGAAGTTTTATCCCAATCCTACTGGGAGTCCAAGATTGATAGTAATTCTAAGTCCATTAGAGTTAGGCTCCTGTTGGGACAAGGATTGAGTTAGCTACTGTTGGGACAAGGATTGAGTTAGCTATAAAAGAGAGGCACCCCGTGGGTCTAAAGTACGCAATTTATATTCTGAATAGTGAATTTAACACTATTGATTATCTTTGAGAGATATACTGATTTGATTGTCGGAGTGCCCACCGGTGGACGAACCACCGCCGGAATCTTCTCTTTCTGTTACAGATTAGCCATGTGTCATCTATTCTGCCAGTGTTCTCCAGCTGAATACTGAGTTTGACAGTGTGATCGGAAAATCACTCACACACATAATATGGTTCATTCATTTTACATCATTCCAATCTCATTTCAATGAATTAAATACCATCTAACATATTTAGAAATGTGTAAAAATATGTCTTCCTATTACCATCATTTCATTCCATTCTCGTTTCAATGAATTAAATTTCATGTAACACATTTAGAAATGTATAAAAATACCTCTTCCTATTTTAGCATTTTTTTTCTTCATATTAATGAAGGAGAAGACTTCAGTCTAATCTAAAATTTTTATCTGTCATTAAATCATATTTATTTTTTTACAAAAAAATAGATGACATATATAGTTTTAAGTATATAATAGAATAATAAAATATTATACTATAATTATTAGATCAATTTAATTTTTTTTATAACTGATTTATAGACCAAAACTTTAAAAAAATAGACAAAACAATATTTTTAAAATAAAACCTGTTATAGACCTTACAACCTCAAACAACATGATCCAATTTGTGAATAGATTGAAGAGAAGACTTGTCCCTAATGAAAACACAATGGGTCATTAGCCCATTTAGTTATCAATAAATATTTTGATTAGTACCATGTTTAATGTATATTCAGTGAATTATTGAACCAATAAAGTAGCGTTCTTTACTTTAAGCCTTCAATGGAAGCATAGGTTTTCAATCTCTATGGATACCCACAGGATAGGTTATCCATTGCCATCCCTAAAAACAATATTTTTAAAATAAAACCTGTTAATAGACCTTACAACCTCAAACAACATGATCCAATTTGTGAATAGATTGAAGAGAAGACTTGTCCCTAATGAAAACACAATGGGTCATTAGCCCATTTAGTTATCAATAAATATTTTGATTAGTACCATGTTTAATGTATATTCAGTGAATTATTGAACCAATAAAGTAGCGTTCTTTACTTTAAGCCTTCAATGGAAGCATAGGTTTTCAATTGATAAATTGGGAAGTCAAAAAGTTGATTTTTTTGGTTAAAATTCATAAAAAGATAAATGTCATTGTTTGGCATGCTGGATTTGAAGGTTTTTTTGCTAAAATAATCACAACAAGATAAAATAGACTAAAAAGTTATTAAGAAGTCAAAAAAGTCTAAAAGTTCAACCAAAAGAGGTTTTTAATCCCAAAAAGGTCAAAAAGTCAACCCCTTTCGAAACGAAGTTAAAATAGGCTAAAATAGTTAATAAGACAAAATGTCACATTAAACTCATAATTATTTCATTTTTTTTTCATAAATGTCACATCTAATTACAAAAAAAATCAAACTTTCTTTCTAAATATAAATATTTTAATCTATTAAAATAGATAAAAATTAAAATAATCAACTTTTTAAAGGAGGTCAATGTCAAATTGAATATAAAAAAGTCACCAAAACAGATGGATATAAATTTTTTAATAAAGAAGAAGATGACACCAGGTGCCACACCCACTAAACATACTCATTGGAATATGACATTTTATCTAATCAGCATAGCAACTCAATTTTTAGTCCTGTTCCAAAAAAAAAAAAAAAAAAACTTTTGAGATGAGGCCTTTCAATTTTTTTTCTATTTTTTTCTTCAATTATTTTGAGATGAGATCTAAAAGAGCAATGTGTATGAGACGGAGTGGTTGACCTATAGATTAGACATTTTTCTTATTGAAGTGAGAACGTGATATTTATATTCAAGTTTATATTATTGTTGTATAATATAATTATAACTTTTTCTTTCACTTATGCTAATTGTTAAAAATAAACAGTTAAAAAAGAAAGTGCGGTGTATATGATTAAACACAACACATTATTTTTCATTAAAAAAATTGCTAAAGCAATATTAAGCCTCGTTGGGAACATGTTAATTTAGTAATTTTTTGGTTATTTGACTAAAATATGAGTAAAAAAAACTAATATGTTTGGGATGACTTTTTAGCTTTTTACGAAAAGATATGCAAAAACTAGAGAGAAAATAGAATCTTTGACTTTTTGATATAGATTGTTGACTTTTTGACTAATTTGATAACTTTTTGAATTTTTGACTAAAATAGAGGGTTCCCAAACGAGACCTAAATAAATACTAAAATTTGGTGTAGTTTATATAGTTTTAGTTTGTGGCCAAATGATAATGATGTCCAACAACTATAGAAACCATATTAGTGTGAAGCTTACTAGTGCCTAGTGACGGTGTGAAAGGTCCTAAACCAGGGGAATATTCAAAGACCAATTGCCCATTGTCATTTGATAAATATAAAAAGAAAATTATAAGTACGTGTCCAAACTTTTGATTGGCCATGTTTTTAAAAAAAAGGATGGAATTTTCTAATTGGAGGATATTGTTAGATCTCTCAGGCTTGTCGTGAGCTCATCTTGATGATTGGATTCATTCTTTTTTATTAAGTCTTTTTGAAAAAATCATTCATATAAAAATTAAATTAATTGAATAATTATACCTATATAATCATATCACATTTCTCTTCTAAAAATAGATTATAAGAATATAATTCATTATTTTGAAGACAAATTTGATCTAATATGTAGTTATAATTATCTTATCAACTTAATTTTTTGCATAAATAATCTGTTCAAAGAATTCTAAAAATAAACGATTCAGTTATCACAGTGGTCCCGCAATGAACCTACAGAAGCCCAACAACACTCTCAATTTAAGATCACGAACTAGAGAGAATCTGTTGCATTTTGAGAACACCAAAAACAAACCGCAAAATTTTAAATGCAATACAAAACAGGTCTAAATGAGACAGTAAGTGCCCTCTTTATTTTTCATCAAAAAAAAAAAAAACAATAATGTCCTAAATTCCACAACATTAATTTCCATTTCAAAAATGGCAAACTAAAAATTACAGTTGAAGTCAACGGGTATCTTGGTCATTGCACCATTACAATAATTTTTTGGCACCATAACATGCTATGCCATTCACCTCACTGCACTTTGTAACAATATATAAATGGCCCTATATCACAAGCTGCCAAACCAAAAGCAAACCAAAGCCAATCTTTTGGCCTTTTCCCATTTTTTTGAGAGTAGAAAACCTCCGGTGATCGGTTTTCCGATCAGCTAGACTCATAAATGGTGAAGATCGCGTTAGGAACCGGCCGAGAGGCCACACAGATTGACTGCATCCATGCCCTCATTGTTGAGTTCATTTGCACTTTCCTATTTGTGTTTGCCGGCGTTGGTTCTGCCATGGCTGCCGGTAATTCATTCCATACCATACAATTTTTATTTACATATTTTTTTTAATGAGAAAATGATTGTTGATTTTTAAATCAAAATTCAATCCAAGATCAGTTGATAGTATATTTGGTTTGGACTAAGAGTGTGCTACCACTCTCTAACGTGAATTTCGACTTACAAATCATTTTGATGAATATGTTATAATTTTTTAACCATTTTTTTTTAGATATCAATAGATACAAACCCACCACTTTGTGTCTAGTGATTAAAAAATTAAATGAAAATTTTATTTATGTACAACATTACACCAATGTTCAGGGATTATGCTTTTTGGGTTGGCTATGAAAATTGTTTTGCTTTTTTTTTTTTTTTTTTAATAGATAAGCTAGGTGGAGATTCTCTAGTGGGCCTGTTTTTCGTGGCCATGGCTCATGCACTGGTGGTTGCGGTGATGATATCGGCGGGTTTCCGTATCTCCGGTGGTCATCTTAATCCGGCGGTAACGCTCGGCCTCTGTGTTGGCGGTCACATCACCGTATTCAGGTCGATCCTCTATTGGATCGATCAACTCTTAGCTTCTGCAGCTGCTTGTGCTTTACTTAAGTATCTTACTGGAGGATTGGTAAGTCAAATAATTATAAAAATATGAGAATTTGTAAGGTGTAACTTTTGCTGTGTTTTTTACTCAGAAAAAACATTTGTAATTATTTTAGTCCGGTTCCTAATTAGGTTTTTGTTTTTTTTAATGTTTGCAGACTACTCCTGTACATACACTAGCCAGTGGAATGGACTACTCCCAAGGAGTGATAATGGAGATTATCTTGACATTCTCATTGTTGTTCTCAGTATATGCCCTTTGTGTGGACCCAAAGAAGGGCTTTCTTGATGGGCTAGGTCCATTACTAGTTGGGCTTGTAGTTGGGGCCAACATCATGGCCGGTGGGCCTTTCTCAGGTGCTTCCATGAACCCAGCAAGATCTTTTGGGCCAGCCTTGGTGAGTGGAAACTGGACTGATCACTGGGTTTACTGGGTCGGACCGCTCATCGGTGGTGGGCTTGCTGGATTAATCTATGAGAATTTCTTCATTGTTAGGTCTCATGTTCCACTTCCAAGAGAGGATGAAACTTTCTAGGGTTGTGCCAAGTGCTCATAATGTCATTATGTAGTGTTGCCTTTGGCTTTTGATGTATGGTACTCTGTTTATTGCCTCTTTTTTATTGTAAGTTTCCTGATGATGGAGTCTTGATTGGTATTTACTCTCTCTCTCTCTCTCTCTGTCTCTCAAAGCTGGGTATGTTGTGATAGTAATTATATTATATTAAATGGGTATTGTTATGCTTTATTTGTTTAGAAGAAAAACATCTTTTGTAAACAGCCTAATGAGTTTTAATACGAACCTGAATCCCAGCCTAACATGACTAATTTTTGCTGAATGGTCGGTTTGGTTGGGATTAGACTATAACCCATCAATTAATCAAACAACATTGAGTTGATACTCTTAATTGATTTTGACTGGCCACTCAATCGAAACCATCCGTTACAATGTGTTTGGTTGAGAATTTAAGGAAAGATTTAGAAAGAGAAAAGGAAAATGTGGGTAAAATTAGGTGAAATGGTATATTTTATTCGTATTTCACTTACCTTTTTCATTTTTCTTTTTAAGTTCCTACTCAAACCCCCCAAACAAACACAGTATTAATGTTAATTAGTTTGGCAATTGGATTTCATCATTTGGGCCATATAGCACTTTTGGGCCGCTTTAGTTTTGGCCCAAAACTACTTTGTACCAGGGCCACTTTCAACTTTTAAAAAGAGGTCATCTCAGTACCAGGGCCAATCTAGTACTTGTCAATTTTAACAAAAGACAACCCATTTTGCATTTTATGGGCACCACAAAAAAGAAAAGAAAAAAAAGAAGTGTAATTAGTGGAACTTCTTGCTGCCTATCTCAAATTTTCAAGCCTCTTTTTCATTTTTTCCGTACTAATGTCAAGTGGTCCCAGTTGATGAAGCCTATGAACAAGCTAGTAAGGCTTATGAGGTGACGAGACTCACTAATAGATTGCTTGGTTGTCTATTTATGAGTGATGCGGAGCATCATGTGACCCAACAAGGATTGGATCATTCTTTTGGTAAAGTCGGCCTGCTTTCTTCATAACACAGACAATGCACTCATGTAATCACAAGGATTGAATCAACAGTTATACTGTATTTGGTTGAAAGATTTGAGAATAAATTTTTTAAAAATATATATATATATAAAACTAAATGAAATATAAATATATTTTATTCATATTTTACTTATCTTTTTCATTTTTCTTTCCAAATCTCTCCTCAAATCTCCCAACCAAATATAACATTAATGATTCAATTCAATTTATTGATTTTTTTGAACCATGTATTGATCATTTAAAAAAATTAAAAATATATATAATTATATGTTTTTTTTTTTTAATATTTCAATATTTGACACTACATAATTTCTTATTATTTGCATAGAAGATTCTTTCCTCTATATAATATTAGGGCAATACTTCTACCATTTTTTTTTTTTTAATGGTATTCAATGTTCCGTGGTTGGAGTAGCTCAGGCCATGCGTGGTGTGGTAATGTGACGCCTAATATTATAAATGAGTCTTTCAGAGAGTATGGTGTTGGATAGTGATGGTGGTAATTGTTTTGCTATCTCTAGTACTTCCAATTTAACATGGCCACCACCCTCCTATATTGATGACCACTACCAGCAATCTCCTAATTGTGTGCAATTTCATCAATAGCTGCATCTTCTAGCCAAGGGACAACTATGAAAACTAGGCAAACTCAATGATTAAATTATTTCTTACCCGTCATATATATACACACACACAATATATATACATCGAATGTCTTTATTTGGGAAATGAGATATTTGAACTCTTGATCTCTCAATGCTGTGTGAAAATTCCGGTTAATGTATGTGTGCTTGCGTGTAGACATCCATTTCAATATATTCATGATGGTCAATTCTAATGATAAATTACTCAAGCTCTATTTTGGAGATCTTAAGTTCAAATTATAATAATCTATTTCACCTGATATGTGAGGTTAATAATGGATCGTATGTATCCCAAGTGTTCCCTCCTTATATAGTTCCAAATGACTTGGCCTAGATCAGTTCTCAATTAAAAAAGAAATAAAGAAACAAAAAAAAAAAAATCCATTTGTACATTATGATGAAAATTGAAATAGATAAGTTTTGAGTAACCCATTATTCAAATGATTATGTATATAGCATAGGGAGCATTTGAATACATATGATTACAAGTTTACCAATGGTAGGACAAATCTATATTGCTACCAATTCGGTGTGGACTCTACAATACATGCATTTATTTTTTTATTTTTTCAATCTAGTGAAAAGGATGACTACCTTGAATCTTCTTCTCTACCCATGAAGGAGACAACACAGGACTCATCTCATACTCCATGATCTTCATCTTCAAATCACTGTGGTCCATTCCGCCATCAGAGCAAATCTTCCTCTCATCAGGCAAAATCTTAATCCTCCAAACCTTAAATGTTTGATCCAAACTTGCACTGTACACCAATAACCCCATCACCACTTTCTCTATCTCCAAAGATGCAGCCAAACACCTCACTGGCCCTCTATGAGCATCCAACACGGCAAGACACTCATGGAAGCAACTGCCTTCCTCCCTCCTCCAAACCCTAATCGTCGTGTCCTCAGACCCACTAAAAATCAACTTCTCGATCGCCACCAAGCAAAGGACTGCGAAACGATGACCCTGTAAGAACCCTCCGTGGTTGAACCTACTGGATAACTTCTCTTTTTCCCAAAAATTTATGAACCCATCTGCGGATCCCGAGTAAAGAAAGCAAGAGGTGAGTGAGGTGCCTAATGCCAATGCATTGACCGGTGACGGTTGGAACTTGAGTGTCATGGTGAGAGTATGAGAGCTCTGTCCATATACTTTCCTCCAAATCCTCACTGAACCATCAGATGAACAAGTGAATACACACCCATCTTCTTGATTCACCACAATTGCATTGACATTGTCATCATGAGCCACAAATGAGTCCACAGCTCGACCGTCCGATATCCTCCAAACCTTGACTGTTTTGTCCCATGACCCGGTGTATAGAAGTCCCTCTGCATGGTAATAAGCCATGCAAGAGACACAGTCCTTGTGTTGGTTTCTATTAACCCTAGGAAACAATAGAAATGAGCTTTTTCTAGGTAGGGTTCGGACTTTTTTTGACCTAAAACTCTCTGAAGCAGTGATATTCCATACTCTAACCTTGTAGTCTTTGTGTGAAGTGAAGAGCATGTTTCCATAAGCTAACATGGCTCGGACATCACCGGAGCTTGCCTTGAGGCAGCCTCTCTCCATGCAGTCCGGCTGCCGCCAGATGTGGATGTGGCTGCTGGTGGAGCCGGTGAAGACGAGGCCACGGGAGGCGGCAATGGAGTAGATGTTGCCGTCATGGCGGTGGAGGGAAGCGATGCAGTGGTGGAGGAGGGAGGGGGAGGGGGTTTGGAGAGGGGAGAGAGTCCAGGGTGAGTCTGGGCTAGGTGGTGGCATGAGTGAGTACATTGAGGCAGTTGTTGAGGGTGTGGAAGGCCTTGTAGGGCTGAAATGGATGTCTTGTTCAGACATTTCTTGGAGGGTTTTGAAGGAGAGGTGAGTTGGTGATTGTATGGCTTTCCTCTCTTCATCTATGAAGCTGCATAGACTTCTCTCGCCATAGTGCTCCATGGTTGAGAGAGAAAGCGGGAGGGAGGAGGAGGAGGAAGAGGAGGAGTATGAGGAGTATGGGATATAGATATAAAAGATTAAATGAGTTATATTAATAAGCTTTGTGACTTGTGAGAGTATAGGATATAAATACAGTAAAAGAGTACAGGATAGCGACAAAGTAAAAATGTGTACAAAATTCATACCCAAAAATATACTAAATAAAATACCGTGTGAGGTTTTAATTCAACTCTTCTATAATAGAGTTCACATCTTGAATGAATGTGGATAACTATTAAATTTTCTAACAATTTTTTTTTGGGTACAGGTTTTGAGTCCTTAATATTACCCATATAAGCTAAAGGAGTTGTATTAACAAGCTTATTAATCATTATAATTTTTTTTTTTGTATGTGCGTAATCTATACAACGGTGCTCACCAAATAATAATTTCTTTTTTGACAAATTATTAAGCTATATTGCTAGAAGATATTGTTGACATTATATTAATGTACAAATCATGAACATAATAAGGGCTTATAGAAGTCGTGTTTTTGGCACCATATTTGAAGGCCCCAAGTCATGACAAGTATAAATTCAATAAATAAATAACAATAATAATATTATAATAATCAAATTTTTATATTATATTTGATTTCTCATGCAAGTTGTCAACTACATTAGAAATAGACGTAAGTGGAGGGACAAATTAAAAGTAATACTGATAATTTATATGATAAATCAAATATAATATATAAAAGTATATCATTATACCAATCATTTCAATCCAAAACGAGTGTGTTCATTTTCAAAACACACACACACACACACAAAGAGAATGAGAAAATGCACAAATAAATAGTAGGGATTTACAGCTAAGAACTTTTAATAATGTGATGAGATACCCTTCCAATTTGATGTTCCAAAATGAGTAAGTACTTTGAAAGATTAGGAAATGCTAAATAAAGTTTTTTTTTTTAATATTTTTTTATGAATTTATTTATATTAATAATATTTTTATGTTCAAGACTTCAACGTAGTACTTCAAGAATATGAGGGAGATTGAGGGCATTATAGATGATGCTTGGATCTTAGTATCTCAGAATCTGTCTCTTGTTTTTAATGCACTCTTAATCATTCATACGTTTTGTAGTGCGAAAAACAAGATATAAAAATCAAGAGACATGATTGTACCACAAGGAGTATTAAGACAAATTTAATGGACTAGTAATTTAGGAACAAGAATACCATGCTGATTGAGAATATATTCTATTAAGAACAATTATATATCACCTGTTTATTTCAGGATTTTATATCGCCAATCTAATTTCTTAATAATTATCTTAAACAAGAGAACTATTCATAAATATCTATGTACGAGATATATACGTTGTGTTTGGTATAGTTCTAAAATCTTAATTCCAAAGTTATTTTTAACATATTGTTTAGTTCAAGTTTTCCAAAATTAATTCCAAGTCATATTTCAAAACTCATTTGAAAACCTACTTAACAATACAGTGAGTTTTTAAATTTTGAATGTTCAAAAGAGCGCTTTTGGTCTACTGGTGGTCCTCCTAGACATGTCCTCCTAGACATCTCCCCAGATGTCCGGAATTTTTTTTTTCTTTTTTTTTTTTTTTTGGGTGCAAATGTCACCTGTTATTTGAAAAAAAAAAAAGAAAAAAAAGAAAGGAATTTGCTTTTGACTTTTTTAACAAAAATAATATATATTTTTTATATTTTAAATCAAAAATATTTTAAAAAAATAATTTGAACCAAATATATAATAAGGCCAAGTTTGTTTGAGCGAACTGAATTAGATTGAATTAGCATTCCCATGACTAATAATCCTAAGACTACGAATCCCTTTAAATTGTATATCATATCCTATGTTTGGATTGCGATATGATTATAAGGAAGAACTAATAGTCTAAACTTTAACTTAATCCTCCAATTTATATCTCACCCCTCTGTGGGATTGAATAGTATATCATATGTAGAATGGATTGTTAGTTTATACTCCAATTGTTTAACCAAATATCGGATTAATAATTTTATTGGACTATTAATCTAATCTCAAACTCATGTCCACCCAAACAAACATGACCTAAAAATTATCTTAAATCAGTAATTGAATATTTATTTTGAAAAAAAAATTATTTTCTTTGTAATATTTTTAATTCAAAAAATTGGTTAATGTTGTTTTTTGTTAATAATTAATTTTTTTAATTAAATTTAAAAAAAAAATTGGTTATGAATATTGATTAGAATTTCAATGGAATTTTGCGTAATGTATTTGGTTATGAGTTATAACAATTTGAATTAAGTTTTGAAAAACCACACAAATTTTCTTATTTCACATGTCACATCAAACATTCAAAACTCAATTCAACACTCAACTCAAAACTCAATTTAAAACTCATAACCAAACAAATTTTATACACTTAAATCATAATTTTCAAATTCACAAACTCAAAATACAAGTCTATTCTCAAATCATATTTAAAAAACTCCGCTATCATAATATTCCGCTATCATAATATTTCTCTATTTGATACTAAGGCTTGGTTTGGGATAAATAATACAAAAAGTCAAAAAGTCACTATCTTATTTAAGTCACATCATCTTATTTAAATCACATCACCTCTCTAACCCATTACATCAAACCCAATCCAAACCCAACCCATATAAGTCAATAAGTCAAAAAGTGCACTTTTTTAGAACATCCCAAACCAACCCTAATATTTTCAACATGGTGGGTAATTTAATTACGGGTGTAACTGAAAGATGCCTACATAGCTGTGACCATCATCTTATTAAGCGTGTAATTAATCTAGGGCATTAAGAGTTACCAACTTATATGGAGTTTCAGATGCCCACATGCACACATTGATTAATTTTTCAACTAAAATTTTTACATGTTTAATAATAATAATAATAATAATAATTTCAGCATTTGGGGGAGAGTACATTAATTACAGGTATAACTGAAAGATGCCTACATAGCTGTCAGTGACCATCATCTTTTTAAAGTGTGTAATTAATCTAGGGCATTAAGAGGGACCATTTATATGGAGTTTCAGATGCCCACATGTACACATTGATTAATTTTTCATCCAAAAATGGAGTTTCAGATGCCCACATGTACACATTGATTAATTTTTCATCCAAAATTTTTACATGTTTAAAAAAATAATAATAATAATAATAATAATTATAATAATTTCAGCATTTGGGAGAGAAAAAGTAGAACATGGTTGCAAATTAGAACCCTCCAAAGCCCAAAAACTAATTCATTTATATAGTTCCAAATATAAAAAAATTTCAACTGATATATCATAAATAATAGAAGATTTTTCTTCCCTAATATATGAATCTCAAGAAAATTGCTACATAAACTCAACTAGAAAATAAGTATATTTAAGTAGGATAGTTGGTATAAATCTGAGGTATATGTCAAGAAAGAGACCTAAAATTTAGGTTAATTATGCACCATGTATGAAGAACAATGGACCTGCTCTCAAATTTAGGACACAAAAATGGCTACTGTGATGATCAATTCTAGAAGGAAAGTGCAGTCTTTCATGCTTTCAATAATGGTCCCTCCTCAAAATAATAATAATAATAATAATAAATATAAATAATAATGATAATAATGGCCTGCATTTACCAAATCTTTTGTGTCGGCACGCTCAAGAGAGTGTTTGTGATATGTGATTCTTTCTGCTGATGTGCTTGAATTGATTTGATAAATGCAACTGATGGGTAATTGCATGTATTCGGGATTTACATGTGGCCTTGCTATTAAAAAAAAAAAAGAATGAAGAGTTGCAACAAGAACAAACAACGAAACTCAAATAAAATAATTATTTCTCAATGAAACATCATTAATCATCAAGTAGTTCAGAAGCTTAGATTTGAATTTATTATAATAGAGCAATCTTAAAGCGAAACAATGAAAGGACAATCCATTGCTAATCAAGTTTAAAAAAATTAGAAAAATTATAAAAACGAATTTGAGTTAAGCATAAATTTGGATTATAAAGACTTAAAAGAAACATGTTAAAACAAACAACAACCAACACAAAAACTACTACACAAACTAATAGCAAAAACAACTTTCCTAGAACAGTAAAATTGCAAAAAATTAAGCCTTAAATGCTGTAATCTGTTTGAAAAGCATCTTAGATCATGGTAAACCAGTGAATTTTGATTGTTGTTGGGTTATTTCAAATCGAACATGAGTATTTCATACATAATCAGCCAATGTCGATCCAAACACTTTATCATTTTGTCATCTTATAATCCAAGTGACGTGTAAAAAATAAAAAATAAAAACATTCATATTTATTATAGATGTGTGGTGTGGGCATATGTACATTCTGTGTTGGTACATACACACATGTTATTTTCTGGTGAGGCTGTTTGGTGGCTAGGAAAAAAAAAGGAAGAAAAGGGCGTCACTGGTGTTGGCTATAGCAAAGCAATAACTATCAACTTGAACATCTGCTTATTATGGTTGGACACATTATGGAATCTCCATAACTGATGGGTGTTTGATATATATATTTCTATATCTAAGAAAAAAAAAACAAAGAAATGCAAACATAGCAGTTGGGCACATTCAATAAAGTTAGAACTAGATTTAATGGAACACTGCTACCTCCCTTGCTCCTTTAATGATAATTTATTATATTTTATCAATAACATATAATCTCATTTAAGGACTATTTAACTAGATTCATACTAATTTTTTATTGAAATCAAATCACTATTTTTAACCTTTTCACCAATTTTCAAGGCTTTTTTCATTCTAATCCTAATATTAAACAATGACCTAGGAATACTTGTCCGCATTTGTCTTTTTTATTATATTTTGCTTATCACATGTTATCATTATATTTGTAAGGGACATAAATCATGAGACCCATTAAATTAGTAAGCAACACGTGAAATGATAAACAAAATTTCATAAATTGCCTGACTCTGCTTTGTCTATTGATTCAACTTAAGACAAAGAAAGGGGAATAAAAGAAAAGAAAAAAAAGATAAGGGATTGTGTTCAAAGGTAGATTGCATATAAAGATTTGTTGAGCAATATAAATCAGTTTTGAAGTTTGGCATACCTAGAAGTATTAATAGTATAATTAAGACTTGGGTCAATTAATTATTAAATAATTTTCTACTTGAAGCTAAGCACCAAAAAACTCAAGAAATTGATATTTTTTGTTGTTATGTGTAGCCTCAATTATTTATGTAATATTTAAAGAGTTTGTATTTGGTACACCTCACACGCTGCCTTTGCAGAAGAAGCAACAGCCGTGTGTCGCACTAGCCCAACACTTGAACTAGTACACCTAGACCAAACCGGGACCTTGGAAATGTCAACCGAAGTGCACAACACTGACTTAAAAGCAAAATTCAAGCCAAATAAATTACAACAAAATGAAGTATTTGTTACAATCTAGAAGGCTATTACAATGCACAAATGGTTAATGTTGGGTTATGTTTAAGGCACATGTGGTCTAAAGTTTGGTTATGTGAATTACAGCTCTACTATTATTAATTCTTCTACTCGGTTCTTTTTATAATTATTTTAATTAAGTGTAGTAATTTTGTAGAAATTGACAATTTGTATCAATATCATTGGTAACAATATAAATAGCATAATCCATGGATGGGTAAGATTCTCAGAACTAGAACCATTTGGTTCCCGCTTGGAGCATTTTCAAAAAACTTGCTAGAACCAGCATTTGCAAGGAGGTATTTTTTGCTGCATATGTTTAGCTTTTTTTTTATTTTTTTTGATCAGCGCATATGTTTAGCTTTTAGTGCAGACCTTGTATTTTATCAAGTCAAAACACTTTGAAGAGAGTGCAAACAATGAAACACAAAACAAAAGTCCGATAATGACTACGATGAATAAGTTTGACATCTTTTGCATCAGGCAATATGATGGAAAATTTTGTGGGTTGTAGTGGGGGAGCCGGCTGAAAGCTGTCCTTATTGAGAAGATGATAAACTGTTAGAATTTACCACTCACCTACTACCTCCACTATCTTTCTCCACACCTACCACCTCCACTATACCACTCACCTACTACCTCCACTATTTTTCTCCACACCTACCACCTCCACTATCACACACTCCACTACCATCTTCTCCTCTATATATAGGAGTTGTAATATACAGAATATATCAATCTTGTAAGACATCAATCAAATATCAATCAATAATACATAATTTCTTACATGGTATCAGAGCAAGGTTGACAACCTAGTAATTCCGCTTCACCGGCGGGCGGCAGCCTCGCCTTGGCCGCCGAGTGGGGTAACTAGGCCTTGCTCCTAGCCTAACTAACATGAGCAAAACATTTTAGTCTTGGAGGCCAAAGCGTGTTCAGTGGGGCTACTGGTGATTGGGTTCTGGAATTGGGCAAGCGAGCAATCCGGGAGTGGTATACTAGGCTTGGCTAGAGGAAACTAGGTGCTGAGACACAACACAAGTGGGCCACATATGTGTTGTCATGTAATGTGGACACGTGGTGCCAAAGTCCTGGAGGTGCAGCCACCCAAGAAATGTCGTGGCTACATTGTGGCAACACCACGTGGCAAGGCTGGACTCTTGTACCTACAATTTGTAACAAGGCAAAGCCATTTCACTATAATTTATATATATGAAGATCATTTCCTGTAACAGCTGTGATCTCAAAAGCACATTTTGAATCATGAAATTGTAAAAGCATAACCAATCAATTGTAGAGCTTCAACAACAAAAAACATTCAGAAAAACTGGAAAAACTTCCATCAAATTCACACATATGATGGTCGTCTTTCACACTCTGATCCCTCTAAACTTCTCTCTCTCCCTGCAAACCATTGAACTGTTCGCCTCGCTATTGGCAGCCAAATCGCCCTCATTCTCTCTGAACTCTCAGATTCCCCACTCCTATTCCTTACACTGAACTCTCTGAACCTTGAAAAGTTTGTTGTCTCCAACATTGATCTCTTCTCACCTCGACTCAATAGTCTTGAAATTGTACTTTGGTTTCCTTCATTGTTAGAAGCAGAAGGAAAACTTGACCTTGAAAATGCAAATGAATTACTAATACTATTATTCATTTTACCAAACTTAGACTCATACAACCTCTTCATCTCCAAGTCCTCCTTAATCTTCATGACATGTTCATTCATGGAAAACGCATGATTGAATCTAGTACTAGTCAGATTATTCAAAGGAGAGAATGTCTCACTGGACATGATACTAATCATCTCGGAATTCAAGAATGTCAAGTCTGAGGAGTTGAGATCGCTCCACCGCCTCTTGTAAACAATGTCATAAATAATGATCTTGTGCTCAAACTTATGGAAGAGTTTTTGAATGTTACCTTCTTGACCAAACGATCTTTCTTGGGTCTTTCAAATTTTCGAAAACTGCTTCCCAGGTCGAATCTTGATGATGATCTTTGAACAAATAACTCAAGATTTGGATCCTCTAATAGATTTGAAGGATTTCCGGTGTATCTAAGACTATTTGTGTATGTGCAATTCATGAGCTCCACTTCATCAAACTTATACCGGCAAAGAGGACAGCTAGAGTGGCTTTCTAACCAGTTATCAATGCAATTCATGTGAAAAGCATGCCCGCACTTTGGCAACAACCGAAGAACTTCGGTATCCTCAAATTCTGATAAACAGACTACACACTCTAGGCCTTGTTTTGATCCCTCAAGCGAAGAAAACCGAAAAAATGGGAGTGATTCAATAACTGCTTTATCAATCCCAGAAAATCTAGACCTTGATCCGATCACAAGTTCACCAAGGTTGCTGTGAGGTGTACTAGGCATGGCTGTGTGGCAGCACTTTGAATAGACAACTATATGGAGAAAATAATTGAGACGATGCTACAGATGATTGCAACGCACAATTGGTGTACCTTGGGGACATGGGGATTGGTGGACCCGTATTGGGTTTCAACATGGAAGAACAAGACAAGAATTGCGACGAACAATCGTAAATGATTCATGGATAGGTGAACACACCTATTGTCATCCATGATCTTGGAAATCTTGTTTGTGTGTAATATTGTCAATGAGATGAAGTTCATGTTGAAGGTC